TTTTTTTTTTTTTTTCGTCTTCTTTGAATCTGTCCATCTCGTTTTTTTTTTTTTCTTCGTTGAAATTCCCACCCCTCTATCATTCTTCTTTCTTAAACTACAGGCGCTGCTGCTGCGAGAAAATGGAGCGGAGTTCATTCACGATGAGATTGCGCTGCGTGGTCTTGTCGGCTCCCACCGGCGGTGAGGCCCGCCGCGGGGCACTCGTCGGCCGCGAGGTCGGCACCTCCACCGCGACGCCGGCCGCCGTCATGTCGTGTTGGGCCTCCGCAATCAACCGGATTTGTTCCGCCTTGCGGTCCATCACGTTGGCGAGTCGACTCAACGTGGCGGTGACGACCTCCGGGGAAATATCTTCGCGTGCGGCCCGCTCCACCGTTTCCTTATATTGCTGGTGAAGACCATTTAACTCATCCTGCAGTTCCTGGCGGACTTCGGCAATGGCATCATTTCTTCTTCCGCCTTCAAGTGCAACCGTCGGTTGGGTGCGAGGCGTCACGCCCATGGCAGAACGGGAGTGTGGTCGTCCCTGTTCACCGCCGTGAGGTGTGGGAACAGGAACTGTACTAGTCGTGATGGTGGCATTACCCTCTTGATTGTGGCCTACACCGCCTTGTCGAATATCACGTTGAATAGAAGAATACGTTGGATCTCTATATGTATGTCTCGCACTGTTGGATCGAAGTGCAGAAGATGGTCGACTCTCCCTCTGTCGGGTATTACCAGATCGATGGGAGTTATCTACATGATCGAATGTATACTTCACCCCATTGCTACCTTGACGAACCACACAACGACGACGTCCACTCATACTACTATTACGTTTATGTCTCTCTGATGTCAATCGACTGACATCTCCATTACGTAAATGTGATCTGTTTTCTCCATTTGCTTCCCGGGTATGTGTTATTTCCCCTATGGCTTGTTCCAATTGAAGGTTTCTGTCAAGTGCTGCCTCTTTCTCAACACGAAGCTCTTCAATAGAGGTGAGAAGTGTACGACGTCGTTTTTGTTCTTCTTGTAATTCCTGGCGTAATTTTTCCACTTCAGTAGCTAAAGCATTTTCCCGTTTTTGTGCAGTTTCACATTCCTTTGCGAGCATTTCCTCTAATTCTGTACGAAATGTCCCCAAATCTTTTCTACTTTCCTCTAATGTAGTTTGAAGTCTTGTTTTCTCTGCTATGGCCCGTTGCACCATCTCTTGCAATTCCTTTTCCCGTTGTCGATGATTCGCCCGTTCTTGTTCCAACTGATGTTCGACATCTTGTTTATATACCTCGTGAGCCCGCAGTGCCTTCTCATACTGATCTTGATGATGATTGCGGTCCTGTTCGAGTCGGCGTATTTTCTCCTGCAGTGCCTGTAATGCGAGAACGATGGACTTTGTATCCCCAACACTCATGCCGAGACCAGAGCGCTGCAGACTGCTGCTGGTACTCTCCATGGAGTGGTTCACAGAGGTTACGTGGGAAGACATCACGTGGTTTATTTTCTTTTCTTTTTTCTTCTTTTTATATATATATATATTTTTTTTTTTTCTCTCTGGTTAATCTTGTCTGTTTGTTTCTTTTTTTTTTCTTTTCTTTCGCTTCTCCTTCCTTGTCAGTACTCTCTGCTGTTCAGTGGAAGAATTTGATGGGAAAAAAAAAAAAAAAAGAAGGTATGGAAGGAGGGGGAATTTGTTTAATATCCCTTTTTTTTTTTTTTAATTTCCTTCCCCCCTCTTTTTTTTTTTTTTTCGTCTCTTGATTTTCCCTTTCAAATATTATACTTATCGCTAACGTCTACAGTAGAAAGAAAAGAATGAAGATAAATAGCATGAACCAACCTTCCCAATGGAAAAGTAGATAGAATATATACATATATATGTATACAAATGGATGAGAATGAAAAAAAAGGTTCAAAGAAAAAAAAAATAAAAGAACACAAACACCACAAGTAGAAGAAAGAAGAGAATAAACACACGCAACAAGAGGACGAAAATATATATATATATATAAAGAGGGAGTTTCTGGGAATTTGCCCATGTCTTTATAGTAACCAAACACATTGAAATAACAACATCAAGAACAACGAGAAATGCCGAGAGAGAATTAATCAAAAGTAACTTGAGATATCATTTGATATCATCTCTCTCTTTCTGTTTCTCTCTCTCTCTCTCTCTCTTCCTTTGTATAAATGATTTTGTACACACAAGCAGGAATACGCACAGAGCAGCAAATTAAAGCAACAGCAGCAACAACAACAAGAAAAAAAAAAAAAAAGAGACATCTTTCGTTCACAGTTGTCATCACTTCACCCCCTCCCCTATAATGACAAACAAACCAACAAACGGTAGCAATTTAAAACATTTCAAATTACATTCATCACTAAAGAGAGAGAGAGAAAGATCATAAGAATAATAATGTCGGCAGTTTTGCAGCTCGGAAATAAGAACAAAAACAAACAACAAAAAAAAAAACATATAGCAAAATATTTCCCAAGTAATTTTTTAAGTTCAGGAGAAATTCCCCATTTTTTTTTTTTTTTTACTGATTATATCTATCCTCTTATTCATTTTTTTCCCACCCCTCACCTCTATGTTTCTCCTTTCTTTTTTTTTTTTGTATACAATCAATTTTATGATACATGTACGTATCATGTAGCTGAACAACATTGGCGCAAAAACTCTTCGATAACCGAACGTTGTGCAGTTATTTCCTCTATTTGAGACTGAAATTCACGAGTATCCATAGCTTCTTCAAATATTTCCCGCAATTCTAATTCCCTTTGGGCCCAAATACCACTCATCAAACTCACAGCACTTTTTCTATTATGCGAAGAACTAGACCCTGTAATACCTGTAAAAGTAGCAGTATTAGTTGTTGTTGTGGTAGTCGTAATAGTAGTAATAATAGTCGTATTCGTACTAACAGGAACAGAAGAGGATGGAGGTGGAGAAGTAAAATGTAAACCACCATTGTCAACTGCTACACGTACAAGATTATCTGGATCTGCGTAAATACAATCTACACAGAGCAGACAACCTACAACAACGGATCGAACTTCATCTGTAACAGGAGTTTCTGAAATATACGGGAGAACTTCTTCAGCAGTTGAGAGTAAACCTTCTAATAAAGGAAGGAGAGCAAATTTAAATACTGCTGTTTTTACAGAATATGCTGATCGTGTTTCCGCTTCACTTGCTGCAGCATCTATTGTATTAAGCCAAAAATCATCTAAATCCAATACACTTTCTGATGTATCATTCCATTTAAATTTAATAAGATTACCACGAAAGACATGAATTTGACGAATAATAGCCGAAATAGCACAAAAAGTTGAATCCCGTCCCGTACCTTTTAAACGTGATAAAGATCGACGTCTGGGAGATCGCGGTGATCGTGGTGTATATGTCTGTGTAGCTCCCAATCCATTTATAGTACTAGTACTTCGAGCTCTAGGAGAAAATATTGTAAAATGAATAGGTGGGGACGTTATAGCTTTCCAGAGAAGCCAATATTTTCGTCTCAGTGAATGTTCAGCGAATAAATTCATTACTTTTGACTTTAATTTCAAATTCGCTTTCTTGTCTAAAATTTTTGAAAATTCTAACGCTTTTTGTTTCATCTTTCGTGTGCGTATACCAACTACCCATTTTGTAAAATATACACCTTGCATCTTTATAGCATGACCATTTGCAAGAACTTCTGCTACCTGAGAAAGTTTTCTTAATCGTTTTTTCCGCATTTGACGTAAAACATATTGTCTAGAAAAATAATCACGATGATGAAGCCAAAGTCCAAAAGCCCTACGAGTTGCATGTAGTGCATCTAATATAGCACATTGTAAAACAAGAGACTTTATACGATTTCCTACAACGTTATAAAGAGAGTAATAATTATCTCTTTGAGCTTGACGAATTAATACAGCCTTTTGACGATACTGTTTTAATGCTTCTATTCGTACAGCAAGAGAAACTTCACGTGACTTGGCATATTCATCTAGAGAACATCTACCATCAATAATAGTAATGAGACTCTTCTTATTCTCTACATCATCATGATCATCATCATCATCATCATGATCAAGTTCTTCTCTTATGGAATGAGATACTCTTGGTTTAGAAGTTCTCATTAGGTTAAACTCCTGTAAAATAGAAATAGGAGTAAAACTTACAAAATGAGCAGGTGGATATTTTTTACACTCTTTATGAACCTCCAATCTAAAAGGACGTCCCTTCATAAGGGCCATTTCACGTTGTAAACGTTTCCATTCTGCTTCACTAGGAGGTCCAAGAGCCTTTTCAGCAGAAGGATGAGGTACACGTGTAACGACTGTTTTACTTTCAGTACTAAAAATTGAAAGGAGTCCATCATTTCTTGCAACCCACAGCTGATGTCGTGAATGATCAATATACATTAATACGATAGGCTGTGAATGACGTTCTAATATGTGTCTTCTAAAAACCACATTAAAATTAAACGATGGAGATTCTGGAATAGGATTTTCTTCATTAATACGCCATATACGTGATGCACGATTTACACTTTCAGCATTAGCTTTAGGTACACATTGCATATTCATAACTGTACCTTCTACTGCAAGATAAAATTGTAATTTTTCAAAAGTGAAAAATAATGCTCGTTCATCACTTAGTTGATAAAAAGAATTAGCTAATTGACGACGACGTACTTCTTCTTCTGTGGGTTGTTCTAGTAAAGAGTACTGCATTTCAGGTGGATCAGGTAAACGACGCATTGTAACTGTTATAATAGAAGGAAGATCTACAGCAATTCCAGTTACAGTTCCACCATCTATAAGATCCATCTGACATTTCGCTTTCCTACTGTAAATATCATTAAAAGAACGATGTTCATTTATCCACTCATTATCCATTGTATCACAAGCAGCAGAACGTGAAGAATTTACAGTACCATAAATTGAGGCTCGTCCACTTGTACTACGACAACTAGAAACAGAATGTGGTGCAACCGTATTCTTCTTAGAATTCCATTGAACCATCCACGTATCTTCTTCCACCATTTCTGCTACAGCATCACTAGATGTAGCCCTTTTACTTCGTAGTGTACTTTTTCTCCCATTTTCTAATTTTGTAGTAGTACGACGTCTACTACTAGCACAATATGGACTTATATTATTATTACTATTATCACAATTGGTTTTATTTTTGTAACCATTAGTAGTACTAGTAGTAGTAGCAGTAGTAGTAGTAGTATCAACAGTATTAGTAATTTTTTGCAGTACTGTTTTTCTAGGGGTATAAAGTGATTTTTTCGGTTCTGTAAGGGTAGGTCGACGACTTGAACAAAATCCACTAAGAGTGCTCAGTGTTGTATTCGTTCTTTTAGAAGCAGAACTGGGTGCAGCTCGAGGAGATGCAGCTAAACTTTTGGTACGTTGTTTTATTGGATGATCTGAGCTATCGTTAAGACCACTTAAATTTCTTGATATAGGTCCTTCTGAACCTTTTTTCGTTCTTAGTAATAAAGAAGAAGATTGTGTAGATTGTGTACAAAAAGATCCTGTAGTTGTTTTTGACCGTTTTGCCGACTGAGTAATAGTTCCACCTCCCTTTACTGTAGAGTTTCGGAGTGTACTAAGCCTACCTGGACTTGGTGGGACTGTTGCAGACATACGAGTTCGTTCTTTTCCCCCTTTTTTCACACTTCGCTGTGTACTATGTGGTGTTTTTACAGCCATTGATCCTTCTTCTGTACGTGTCTTGGTCTGTTTTTTATGTCGCTTCTCTACTGTAGTTCCTGGGGAAAGTGGTAAAGGTGAACCATACGTATTATTTGGGTGTGAAAAGGAGAGGGATCCACTTCTACTGTCTGCTACGCTACTCACATTTGCTGTTTGATTGGTGGTCTGCCGTGTGTGTCGTCTTCGTGGACTTACCGAGTGGTTGGTGATACTCTCCCCCCGCGATGACCCGCGAGATCGTGCGGAGGTGGGTGTGTTCTGCCCCGTGCGGGTGCCGGCGGTGCAGCGGGCGACCTCCTCGTCCAAGTCCCAGAGATGCACGCGGCCGTGGACGTCGCCGGCGACGAGGAGGTTCACGCGGCGCCGCTGGACGGGCTCCGGCGCGAGGGGCGGCAGCAGGCGCTCGAGTTCGCCCTCCACCTCCCGCATCTCCCGCTCCGACAGCCGCAACACCCGCCGGTGCTCCTCCCGCCGCTCCCAGCGGGTCGACGGCTGCACCGCCCGCCGCGCGCGGAGAAGCGCCGGGGCCGACGGCTCCTTCGGGTCGCGCGTCATGGCGACAACATCGCGCGGCTTCTCGTAGCCGGCGGTCGTCACTAACGTACTCGTCCAGGCGAGTGCCCGCAGTCCGCCCACGCTGCCCTTCAACTTGAAGAGCGGGCGGACCTTCACCATCGTGCAGGTAGACCGCACCGTGCAGCCAGTCACCCCAGACGATGGCTTCACAGAAAAGGTCACAACATCTCCACGCAGAATGGAGGTGGGCGAGTGAAGACCATACGGCGCCGATACATCACGGTGCGAAGATACACGCATTTCTTCCATACGACGATAAATTTTCTGCACATCCCACACCACCACACAAGAATCTTCTGAAGCAGTACAAACAAGTGATAAATGTTCACGTTCTTCAGAACATGCACGAGAGGTTGCAGCCGTTAATTCATGTATACAACTACTTAAACGGTTTGTCGTTACTAAATCAGTGGTTTTATTATCCTCATGACAAGGACTACGTTTAATAGCTACAACAGCTGCGGTATGATACTTTGGAAGTTCATAAACAAGATCAGCTAATTCACCTTTTGCTAATAATGCAGAACGATCTTGTTCTCGTATTCGTCTAGGATCTGCAGGAAATAATCGAATAGAACCATCTACAAAACCTACCCAAACATAATCTGTATTAATAAGAGAAGATTCTCGTACAGATAAAATATCTCGTGGTTCATCAATTGGAATAACATCTAATTGATGATTAATAAATCCACGAAATGGTGCATGTAGTAAAGAAGAAACAAAAACATGCAATTTAGGTTCTGTTATCTTCATTATTACACTACCAGTGATGGCATCCATAACAGTAATTCCACCCTCAATAGAATTTTCCACTGACCATATAGTTGGATTAGGTGTATGACAACCTCGTACTTCTTCATCTAGACGACATGTATCTAAAGTGAGGGGTCCATCCACTCGTTGAACAGACGCTCGACGATGTTCCCGTGATGTGATTAATCGTTTTAAAGCTACCTTTACATCATTTAATCTGGGAAGAATACGGACACAACACATCAAACGTGCCCTAAAACCCTTTAAATTAAAAGGTGATTCAACATCACATGATAACAAAATTTGGTCGCTACTCTTAACATTTTTTTCTTTAACATCCTTCAATTCTCCAGCACATTGAGGAGAAGAATTCGCAGCTGCAGTTGTTGATACTGTCATTTTTACATGCGACATGACGGAAGAGAAGAATAAAAAAATTTAATAAAAACGACGCTACAAATTAACTAAAGTAACGAGTAAAAAACACGAAGCAACCCACTCAAAGAAAAAAAGAAAAAAAAAAAAAAACAATAATGTGCCAGAACCCACTAATATAGTCGAGTACTTTCTTATCTTTCTTCTAAAAGTCCGACTACTTAAAAAAAAAAAAGGAATAAAAGAAAGAAGCAAAAAAAGGGTATTGAGAAAAGTTATCACAACTGATTTCAATATCAAACAACATGGGAAGAGAGTTCACAATTTCAAGGTCAAATAAAAAGCATTAACAAACTAAAAAAAAAAAAAAACTAAAACGAAAAAAAAAAGAAGAGGAGGTGATGTGCCAAGAAGGTCCGTACACTTTTACAAATGTACCACCACTACATACACACACACACACACACACAACACGTTACTGTAAGAGAGAAAAACAAAAAAAATCTCTCACTTTTATTTTTCCTTTTCTCGTTCCAGTAGTCCTCTGAAGAACGAAAGGCAAAAAATAAAAACTTATTAGTTTTACTTTTTTTTTTTTCTGTATATTTTTTAATTTCCTTGCTCTTCACTTTTGCTTTAAATTCTATGAATGTATGTTTTATTCTTTTTTTCTTTCACTTCTCTATGGGTTAACTAACAATAATCTGTGACCCTCACCATGATGAGAGGTGGGGAAGGTTGACTGCATAAAAAACAAAAAAACAACAACAACAAAAGAAAAGGTGCTTCACTTGGGGTAAGAGTAAAACAATATATATATATATATATATATATATATACTCTCATTGGTATCAAAATAATATGTGTTAATCATATTCCTGAGTCGCAATAAAAACCTCATCACGATCCAATTCACCTGCAAGAGATGAGAGAAGATCATCTTTTACTCTTACAGTCTCTGTTTCCTTAGCTTTAGATGATTGTGGATCCGGCACACGTGTGGTCTCCACGGGTTCTGGTGTGGAGGAGGCCATACTTAATGCCACTCCGTTTTCATTACACCGCACGTGCCAACCATCTTCAGTAATAACACGATTGGGAAGTACCGGCAGCTTTTCGGATAGACGTCGTCGAGACCGTGATCGGGAAGCACTTCCCTTCGGTGAATTTATTATCAATTGTTCGTCTCCTCCTCCTTGTTGTTGTTGTTGTTGTTGTTGAATAAATTCTTCTGTTGTTTCTCCATTTTGTATTCCCTCGCGTGGTCGTTTGGTATTCTGTATAGGTGTTGCACCTCCTACATCCTCCAATCTCGCGGCTCGACGAATAGCGGAGATAAAAAGACGTGCATTTGGATCTGTACTTGCCGCAAGTTTCTCATTTGCAGACAGTGACTGTGCAATCGCAAGAGCATCACCCTTTAAGAGTTTAGGACAATAGGCCACAATGGCTTGTAGGAATGCGGGATCTGTAGAAGTTGCGAAATCCATACCAAATCGAACAATACTGATACAGGAAGAATAATATTTATCAGGTAAAGGCCAATGCATAGAGGAGAGTTTTAATCCCATTTGATAAAGTGCATCAGAGGAGTAATTATAGGCGGCAACAAGAATAGACTTTTCAAGTGCAAAACTATCACCACTACAATCACGTAATGTACGAAATAAATTTCTGAAAATATCTGCAATTGTTTTTGTAGGTGCATTTGACCATTGAACTAATATACGCGGAGCCACTTCTTCTGCGAGTCTATGAAGTAAAAGTAATCGTACCATACCTGCCGTTACACGAAGTTGAGATGCCTCAAGATGAGATAACTCACGACGAGATTTGGCAATAACACTTAATGGAATAGCAGCATCACGATATTGTTGTTCAGCATCTCTGAGTTTATCTTTTGCCGCTCGTACTTCAGAAGAAAGAAGTTCTGATAATTCACCAAATTTCTCTAAAAGTACATCTTGTTCCATTTGGGACATACTGTAATACTTTAATGAACAAAGATCACAGAGACTTACCATACTTTCAACAAAAAGCGAAATAAAACCTTCATGATTTATCTTTTCAGAGTTCATAGACCATATTTGGTAAATACATGATAATAACTCACCAATCATTTGGTTTACCATATTAGTAGATACTTCATTCTTCTTTTCTGATATTTCCTGTTCTTGTTCTTGTTCTTCTTGTTCTTGTTGTTGTTCTGCACCAAGTTGCCAAAAGATACACCGAACTGAAGTTAATAAAATCAAACGTAAAAGTTCAGGAGAAGTATCTGGTTTACTGTACTGTACAATAGATGCTTTAAATAATCCCCATTGATCTACCACAGAAACAAGAGAAGATAAAATACTAAGACGACTCCAAACATGTAATAATTCCTTTTCATCTACATGACTGTTTGACCTGGGATTTATTTTTTGAATAGAAGAAAATTGTTTAAGTATCTGTTTAACAAGTTCCTGAAGTTGAGTTATTCCTTCACTTTTCATAGGATGATCCTCAAAAGCAATTGCCAACCATGCTGAAGTGACTTGTCCAAGTTGTATATCTTCACAAGAAGGAAGTGCAGCTGTACTCTTACGTAATAAAGAAATAAGAGTTTTAATTTGTGTTACTTGTTTTACAGAAGTAAAAGCATTAAAATTCATAACAGCAATAACAGAAGATACACCACATAAAATATTTACATCTCCTCTATGTTTTTCAAGAACTTCTGGTAATAAAATACCAACATCACAACTTAAAGAAATTTCCATTGTATCTGTATTGGATGATTTACCTGATGTAGATTTCTTTATTATACCTTGACGACGATCTTCTTTAGGAATTGGACCAATATCAAGTCGTCCACGCATTTTTTCAAGTAAAGCAGAAGCCATTCCTAAACCTACCATAACTTCATTAACATCATCTGCCGTAATAAGATCAAGAATAGGAGAATATTCTTGAAGTAAAGATGGAAGTTCTTGTGAAGATGTATAAAGAGCATCAATAAGATATCGTTCAGACATAATCTCATCATATTGTGATCTTAATGTAGAAGCAAAGGCACAAAGAAGTTCCATCCCAGCTTTCTGATAAGCAATAGTATTATTTGCATTTACAGAAATACGAGATTCAATAAAAACTTTAAGAAGAACACCTGCTTCACGACGAATAGTAGGACGTTCATCAAATAAAGTTAATAATACACGATCAATCATTTCATTATCAATAAGTTCTTTTCCTTCAGCTTCTTCACCATATACACGAAGAATGAGAACAATAACTCCAATAGCTAATTCAGCACATCGCATATTAACATCACTGCACATTTCCACAAGTCTGTTAGCAAAATATTGAAGAAATAAAAACATACGATTACCACTTTCTGGAGTAGACATAAGGGCTTTTTGAATCATTGTAAGAGCTTCAGCACGAATTTCTGGTTTTTTATCATATAAGGCCATACCAAAATAACGAAAATATTTATTTTCTGCAAATTCTTCATCATATTTTAAAATCCAATCTTCAAGATTTTCAAGAACCAAATGTCTTATCTCAGGTGCAACATCTCGAGGTCTTTGATGAATAGCTTGAGATATAATATGATTACGTAATCCAATAATAGTTTGAATATTCTCTTGAAGAATACCCACTTCTTCTCTTTGTTGTTGTTGTTGTTGTTTTTGTTGTTTTTTCCCACGTCCATGAGATGGTAGACGGTTATTTAAGTCACGAATTAAACCATTAAGAGATCCTACAATGCTAAGAAGAGCAACTATAGAAGTGTGACGAAAACAACGAGCCTTACTTTCACTCATTGCAATAATCCAACGTAATATAGTGGGAAAAAGTACACCATCTAGTAATACATTACATGTATAACTAATATCTACCAATCGTTTAAAGAATTGTCGGTAGGATGTACGAAAAACACGATACTTTGGATCTTTCTTTACCAAAGGATAAACAGCCGCATTTTCCGGAACACGAGCGTATAATTCCTCCAATAAAGTTGATATCTCCACATCATCCTTAAGTGCACTTGCATCCAATTCAGCTTGAATAGATCCAGAAGCTTTAGCCGCAAGGTTCAAAATAGCACAGCAAACACTATCTTTACTGCCATCATTGTAAATACGAAGAAGTTCATTCACCACATGTTCTGCTGATGCCCCTTCCATGAGTGCGTTAAAGAGAGAATTCCCAAGAGAAGTTCCATCATCCTGCATGAGAACAGATCCCACTTCATTCGTAGCTGTTACCTCTTGTGTGGCTTCCACAGAAGCTTGAGTGCTCATCACGTTATCTGTTGCTGTTGGGGTGGTGGTCTTTACACGCTTAGGTGCCTTTTTAGTATTACGTTTTCCAGCCACCATATCTGATAAAATTGTATTGTTTATAAATAAATAATATTCTTCTTATAAAAATAATAACAAAACAAAAAAAGAGGAACTTGAAAATGAGAAAAAAAAAAGAAAAAAAAAGATAAGCTTAAATGTTCCTATATGCGTCTATGTCAGTATGTATGGTGCCGCTATGTCTCAACGTTTATCTCTGTTGTGTACGCCCTTAATTTTATGGCTTCTTCCTATCAATTTATCATTCACAAGTATACAGATAAATCAAAAAAACAAAAACAAAAAGGAACAACAACAAGAAGAAATCAAAAAACAAGTTAAGTCATCATCATCATCATAATCATACAGGATTTAATCCTTTCAACCTTTACCCAATTACACCAAAAATAATAATAAAAAAAAACAATAATAAAGAAACACACACACACACAAACACACCAAAGGAGCAACTTAGGAGTTACTACTACTCCATTAGTAATACCGCTCTAAACACCTAATTCAATTAAGGGATGTATTAACACGAAGTCAATAACAATAATAATAATAATAATAATAATAATAACCAAACACCACAAAACTCCCATCTATCCAACCATTCATTTTACCCACTCAGCAATTCCATCAAAGCTGTAGGCATAGCAGGTGCAGGGACATTCGGCTGTGTTACACGTTGAATATTCGCTGGTGGCGTTGGTTCCTTCAGCAAACCACTCTGTGCCTCTGTGCTACGGTTCATCATTGGCACAACCTGCAGTGTTGGCAGCGGCACAAACACTTCGTCTGGTGAAAGTTCCGTCATCGGCTCTGGAGGAATTAACTGCGGAATCGGCATTGGAGGCTCCAACTCCACCGGAGGTGCAGGTGTGAGGATCGCCTCCACACTCGCAGCGGTAGCCGTCACTACGGTAGTGGTATCCACAACGGCAGGATTTGTATTTATATCACTAGGCTCAAGTGTTAATGTTGTCTGCGGCTCTTCAGTTGATTGTTGTTGTTGTTGTTGTTGTGGAGGAGGAGGAGTTTCTGTTACTTCCTTTGATTTCTGCAGCACCTCCGCGACGTCAAACTCCTCAAACTTGGAGAGAGCCCCGCCGCGCTTTCCATGATCGTCGGAACTAGAGCTGTTTTTGCTCTCTGAGCTGCTTGAGCGCTTCCTCTTCTTTACGGCCTTTCGAGGCATCTTGTTTTCTTTCTTTCTTTCTTTTTGTTATTATTTGTTATTTAAAGAAAGAAAGAAAGAAAACAAATCATTATTATTTTAAAAATATAAAGGAATTACAAAATAAAAGAAAGAATAAATAAACAAAATACAAATATTATGCTTCCAAGCATAAATATATCTTTCTTTCTTTCTTTCTCATACGTTCAATAGAATTGGGAATGGGGGAAAAAAAAAAGCAAAAACGACAAAGCGGATTCCCCTATTTCATCCTTTTTGAATAGCAGTGTTATTCTTTCTTCTTTCTCTTTTCTTCTTGCCGTTGTTGTTTCCTTCTAACTAATCCAACTCTGTTCAGGATCACTCTTTTACAACAGAAAGTGAACACATTTGACCAAAAGGCTTTCCTGGTTTCTTTGTTCTTTGTTTTTTTTTTTTCTTTCCTTTCTCCTTTCTCTTTCTCTTTGTACAAGATGACAAACACTGCATAAGGGGGAAGAAGAACATAAGTGATTGCATCATCTGATGTGGTGGTTCGTCGTTCATCATCATCATCATTGATAATAATAAATAGTAAATTGTCATGGCTGCAGATTCTCTTTCTCTCTCTGTCCCTATATATATATATATATATATATATATATATATATATATATAAAGAGAGAGAGGCGTACACAATAACTTACTCTTCCACATCAAGAGGACGTTCCTCCAGTGTTTCCTCCTCTTCTGCTTCCGCCGCAGGAGGAATATCTTCTGGACGCATTTTAAATCCATCCAAATACTTTCGTGATGCCTCTTCCGTGAGAACTGTGAAGGGAGTATCTTTTCCTACAATGGCAATAGATGTATTGCGGATGTTTAATTCCACACCACCAGAAGTTGCGGCTGCAAGTGCTTTCAAAGCGTGTGTGACCAGGGCGTCAAGTGTACACTCTGGGAAAGATTTAAAGTGTTTTTCCAAATACGTACGTGCCGCCTGTGAACGTAATCCCATAGAAGTTGCCTTAAAATCAAATACATCTCCAGTAGGTGAAGTTTGGTATAAATGTGGTCCCGTACGATCATATCCCGCAATTAAAAGTCCAACACCAAATGGTCGTTTGCCCACCACTTGAATATGTCGCTGATGTTTCTCACCAATCATATCAGACATGATTGGTAAAGGCATATCACTGTCATGCATATAGCGATAGTTCATACACTCTGTGCGTAGAAAACGGGCTAATACACGACCATCCGCAACAAGACCGGCAATTGCCATACCAACATGTTCATCCAATTTAAATACTTTTTCTTGATAAGATGACAATTCCGCAACAGGACTGCGTTTAAGGGCAGTCAAAACAACGTATTCCGTGTTCTTCACTCCAACAGCAGCAGATCCATTGTTTACCGCCTCATTCGCATACTCCACCTGAAATAAACGTCCAGTAGGGCTCCAAGTGGTAGTGTGCGTATCATACTGATTCTTAAACATATTGCTTGATTCGCTTTTTCTTTTCTGTTGATTTTCTGTTCTTCTCTCAGTATTCCTTTTTCTTTTCTTTTTTCTTTTTCGTCTGTGTGTCTGCTTTTTTTTTTTTTTTTACAGCTCCCTTTTGGATTCTACTCCTGTTGATTATTGCTTTATATATCAATATGATTTCCTTCTCGTTTCTTTTACGTTTGATAGTAGTTCTCAAACCAAAGAGAAATTTACAACAACAAGAAAAGAATAAAAAAAACGAAAAGAATTAGAACAAAAACAAAAAAACACGCACAGTCAGAGAAAGAAAAAAAAAAAATATGTCAGTAAATGATAAACAACAAAGAAAGAAACCCATATAGCACGAAACATTACGAATGAAATAAGTAATAACAATAATAAATAACAATAATAATAATAATAATAATAATAATAATAAAACAGCATCACATTGGTGGAGATAATCATCCACAGTACTGGAAATGGTGGGATCAGAGATACCTCCTCCTTCTTTACCGCAACTAAATCTTCATCGCATCATTTTTTCTTTCATTCACTTTTTTTTTTTTTTCTCTCTTCCTTTCTACTCCAGTGGATGTTTGTATGTGTTTTTCCCTTCTTCTATTGTCCTGTACCTTTGCTTTTTATCTTCATCTTTGGCTTATAATCTCTTTTTTCATTATTTCTTTCCTCCTGTTTTTGTTTTCTTCTTTTTTTTTTGTTTTTTATTGTTAGGAGAAATGATCCTGATCCCAACATATAAATATAAACAATAAACTGAAAAAAGAAAAGAAAAAAGGTACCACAGTTAGATACTCCAATCGTATAAAATGGTGGTGTAAACCCAGTACACAGAAACAACATATTAATAATTACATTTCCCAACTGGTATCAGGATTAAGAGAAACAGCACCAAGACTCATTGTGATGTTTTGCTTTTTCTTTTTTTTCTTTTTCGTCCTCTTTATTTATTTATTTTTCTTTTTTTCCCGTTCTCCTAATAACGCTAGATATAAATATATTTTTTTTTTTATGTGAAGCATATCCATTAAATATATGTTTCCACACCCAATAGTTCACTCGATCACTACCTTTCTTTACTCACTACTTCCTCAATGTGTACGTATCTTCTTTATTATTCTTTGTTCTTTTTTTCTTCGTCTTCTTCTCTTTTGTTTCTTTTTTTTTTTCCTTGTTCTTTTCTTTTTTAATCACAAAGCCAATCAGCATCACCTGTACATATCTTTACTACTTTTTTTTTTTTTTTCCTTTTTCTCTTCTTTTCTTAGTATGGCCTTCCATTACCATACTGCTGTGGCATACCATAATTCCCTGGTGGGACTCCACCCATTGGCATCTGCATAGGCATTTGCATAGGGATTGGCCCTGGCATTTGCATAGGGATTGGATTTGTTGGTCCTGCCTGAATCATTAATGGATCATTGGCGTTTGTGTGGAGTGGACCCGCACGTTTGGCTGCCTCCTTTGCGGACTGCTGCGCATCTAACATGGACTTCTCAATACGAATGACCCGTGAGGTGTAGTCTTGAATAGATTGAATAAGGAATGGCATAGCAAGATCTGTGCGTTTCTTCATCCATGATTTCTCCAATACCACTTGAGGTGAAAGGAAGTCATAACATGTATAGAGGCAAGAGACAAAACACTCTGGGTGATCATCTACGAAAAAGTCAAGAAGATCCTCCACAAGATTTGGATCTGCACTTTCAGCAGCAGTTTCAATAGCATCTTGGAAAAGTTTATTCTCCTTTGCCACAGCAATAGCGTGAGAATAACGCTTATTACGACGGTGTAAAAAGAGAGCAATTTTACGGAACTCAAATAATTCCATCTTTTCCAAACGTGCACTTAATTCAGCAGAATCAAAATTATCATAATGTTCCACAGAATTTCTTAAGGCAACATAATCTTCTTCTTCTTCCATGTAAAGTTTATTCAATGCTTCATTTACTCGCCTAGAGTTTCGATCTTGTGTAGACTCAAGATATTGACGAATAAAGTGTACAGGTGCCAATTTAGTTACTTCTATAAGTACACGTTCAGGGTCTAATGTTTTAAACATACTGGAGAGGAAATCATTTAAAAGCTGCGGATGTGTTTGAAGATAAAATGTGATGGAATTATAAACTACATCACTAGCTCCAAGATGACTGACAACATCTTTAAATATTTCATGATCCCAAGCATCTGCATAGTGTTGCATCATAGTATTTGCAGCTGCAAGCCAATCCTCATTGTTTACATGTAATACTCGTAATACCAACCAATGATGATACTGTTCACATGCGGCAATCATTTTGTGTGTATTAATCTTCTTTGAATACATATTTACATGTTCCAATAATTTCTCCGGTTTGTATTTTGCCAGTAAAACTCCCATAACTGTGAAAATACCCATATGTGCACCTGGAGTAACAGATGCAGTCTTAAGAACAGTTAAAAGTTCTTCCCAAAGACCTCGTTCTTCATAACGATCCACAACATCTTGCATAAGTTCAGCTTGTAAAACAAGAGGAACTGCAGTCATATTAGCTAATTTAATTTCATTGGCGTCTAGACAAGCAATATTAACAGCTGTCCATGTTTTTCTTGATTGCGCCTTCTGAGCAGCTTCCACAGCGGCTTGTAAGTTATTCATTCGTATAAGTGTTAAAGCCAATTTAGGGAAATCAGAGGCTATGGTGTATAATACCCGGGCAGAATCATACAATCCATCCTCAAAACATTTATCCGCCACAGCCTGAATTTGTACATTATGAGTTTCCTTTAGGAATTCTTCAAGTTCTGCAAGTCTTCCAGTTTTCGCATACGTTAATACTAATGCGGTATCAATCTTATTATCCTTTGTTCGAGACTCCACACGAGCCATGGTAAGATATTTAATAAGATCACCAAATTGATTATTTCGTTCTGCAGCAGCGGTAACGGCTTCTACAAAATCTGGATTTTTTGCACGAATAAGAACTTCAATAGCTTCATGAACTTCATCTGCAGCAAGTAAATATTCTCCCAATACTGTCCAAACAGGAGCAATATCACACTTCTGTGCATAGGAACGACCACGAGAGATATCTTTTAAATCTCGTAAAAGTACCGTTGCAGCTTCTTTCTTCATCCCATGTTTATCATAAACCGTATAGGCTACTTCATGCATTTCAGCACCTGTAGCAATATTCGCAATCTCTTTGGCATCATAATTTTCTAAGGTTGTAACATATTCCATTACCTTATCTTTCCGTGCTCGAATAGCTGACATAATAAGAAGATTTTCAAGAAAACGATTTTTCCTAAAATGTCCTCGTACCACAATTTGATCTAGCATAGATGTTAACTCATGAGTCATCTCTGCATTCATAAAAGCTCTTACGGTTGTACTCACTTCTTCACTAACTTGAGACTCTGGTAGAGCAACTTGCTGTACGGCTTCTACAAGACGAGCACGATCACTTGTATCATTCTTTAATACAGAAGCCCATAACTCGAGATTTTGCTCTCGTACCAAATATCGAGCAAGTTGTTTCCACATTCCATTTTTGCTGGCAAGCTCCACCAATTCTTGACTGTGATGTCCTTTAGAGTAAGCAATATAGGATAAATTTGGATTTCGGTTTTCACAGTATTTACCAAGTTCCAAAGTATCATAGTATTCATTTTCTGTAAGAAATTTCTCTGCTCCATTATCGGTATCCACATATAATTTTCCAAGTGCATTATGAAGAGCCACATCTGTTTTCTTCTCAGCGAGGCGAGCTTCTAACCATCCTTGAATAAGACGTAAACGTCCACGTTCTTCTACCACTTGTACCAATTCCGCAATAGGACACATTGTACCTACAGCATTAAGAACTGATTTGATAAAATCTTCTCGAGCATTACAATCTATAAGGGCACCCACTACAGCTGGAGTTTTTCCTGGACTACGACGTTGAACATATTGCTCAATAAGACTCTCATTATCGGTTTCCATCAAGTAACGTACAAGTTCATCTATATAGTTGTGTTGATCACATACGTTAATAAGTGGCCATAGATCAGTTAATTTTTTATTTTTTAAATAATTCTTTGTACGTTCTGGATCATAACAAGGACTCTCACGAGTCATTCGTTCAAGTTCTTGTGCTTGACCAACTTCTGCTGCGGCTTCAATATAACGAAAATGAATTTCAGGATCTCGTGTGTACGGTACAATAGCACCAAGATAATAATATAAAATATCGTACATTTTACGTTCCAGAAATAGTTCAATAAGTTTATGAGCTCCAAGAGCATCACTATATCTTGTAGCTACTTGAACAATGACTTTAAAATTTTGTCGATGATTTTGCAGAAGATCCTCTAAACATTTCATACTATCCGATTGACTGAGTTTACCAAAGAATTCAATAAGCCACTCTGGATTAAAAGTTTGTGCATGAGAAAGACAACGACGAATATTTGAAAGATTATCAAGATCAGGATCTTCATTTTGTGCCGTTACATAACATTCAATCGCCCGTTGAGCTAATCCAGCTCGTTCACAAAGTGGAGCCAATTTCATACCATCATAATGAGTACAAACACCACGTGCAAATATTTTTTCAGCCACAGATGGATGAGAGTGCTTGAGATTAATTTCCAAAAGTTTGGTTTGAAGATCTCTTGTTGCTTCACTACTATCACCTCGTAGTACTTCAAGAATAAATTCTGTTGCTTGTTGAATAAGTTGAGCCGTTACAAACATATCTACAACCTCATTTGGATCCAATACAGGTTTATCACTGAGGTCACGATGAAGCATTAAGGCTAAACTCACAGCATTTTGTGGATTAACGCGAATAAAGTTGTTGAGAATTACACGCCAATCTGGTGAAAAATTTGCTCTTTTACAATATTCAACAGCTTTTTGAGTTTCATTCCTTTGAAGTAAAACATTAACAACTTTTGCATGAGCTTCTGCTTTGTGATATATTTTTATAGCAAGATCTGGTTCTGCTTGTGCCAAAAGATCTCCAAGTTCTTCACTTGGGGTCAATTTGTTATTATCATATTGTTGTTTAATATATGCAGCACCACCTTTTGGAACCACAGCACGTGCAAGTTCTATTGATTCATTCGCATTTAATGTGGTCTCGGCGAGAGCAATCTTGAAATAGGTTGAAATAGCAGGAGGTTGTCCACTCATTGGAGGAAGATGTACAAAACGTGCAAGTACTTCTGGAACACGTAAGGCGTTATTAGGAGCTCGTAAACACATACGAACGGCTTCTTCTATATTTCCCATACGAAGACTGTTTTCAAATTGTACTCGGTAAAGATCATCTACACCTCCCAAATTTGCTGAACCTGCGATACGTAATGCCAATTCTGTATTTCCCATTTGATTTTTAACAAATGGTATAATTCCATTATCATTAGGTGAGACATGAAAAACAGATCCTTGATTGTTAACACAAAGAAGTCCACCTGTTTTGGAATATGGGACACCACAAAACACGACATTTGGAGTTACTTGTTGAGCTTTTATTATAACTCCTGTAAATATATCCATTAATACGGCGTTACCACGGCTTGTCATGATGGTTAATAATTTATGTCGTGGTGAGACATTTAGAGCAACTGGAAAATCTCCTGTTGGAAGTGAAATGTCTACAATACGTCGTGTGAGTGTGAGATCTGTCTTTGTACCGGTAGGTAATTCCATCAACAATACCTTCCCTCCTTGTTGTGGATTAGTCCATGCCAAACACATTACATTACACATTCGTGGCTCTGTTGGTGTATTGGTGGAGATGAATGTACCGGCGTGTCCCTCAATGACCCGCCCGCTCCCATTCTCCACGCTGTACAACTGTGTCTTTCCCACCATTCCCTCCGCCACCCGCGCCACACCGGAGAGCATCAACCACTTCTGCTGCGCATCCACGCGGTAGTTGAGGATCTGCACGCCGGCGTCCATCTCCGGCAGCCGCTCAAACACCCGCACGGGCGCCGCATCCGCCGCGGTGTCGAGACTCCAGTGATACACCGCCGTCGCCGTCACGATGCCAACCGTGCGGTCATCCACCCAACGCCAAAAGACAACGTCCTCGTGAAAAACCACAACTTTCACCCGGCGGGCCGCGTCCACATCGAAGATCTGAAGATTACGTCCGCTGCGCAGGGCAAGGATCTTCGTACTGGGGTTCATAATCGCAGACTCCGCATCACGGATGTTGTTGCGGGTGCTCTCACGCTTCTCAAGGTCTACAATAACCAGCGACGTCTGTCCATCCGGCTGCACATCACGCACACACACGTACTTGTCACTCTCCATTGTCAGCGTCTTGAAGGAAATCGTCCCGGGACGAAGTCCGCCAGAGACGGAGTTCAGTTGGAACACCTCCCCAGTGGAAATAGGCGCGTCCATCTGTGAAACTGGTTTACTTCTTAACCTCGCAAATACGGTTATTCAACCTGGTCTTACTATTTTTTCTTTCTTTTTGTCTTCTCTTTTTTTCCTTTCTCGAACTTCTTTGTTTGTTTCCTTTCTTTTCTTTCTTTTTCCTCGGCGTGTCGTTGCTTTGGTCCTTTCCTCACTCTTTCTTCTTCTTCTTTAGCTATGTGTGCAACACTTTTTCTTTTTGTTTTTGCTGTGCTCAATCAGTTTGCCTTTTCACACGCAAATCAAAAGAGACACAAGCACAGACCGCAAGGCAAATACAAAGATCCTAATGTAATAATAGCACTCCTTGGTACTTTTTGCTGCTGAGTTTTCTTTCTATTTTTGTATACCCTCGTCCCGTGTTTTTTTTTTCTTTGTTTTCTTTGTTCAATTATATGCTGTTTAAAGTACACGAGTATGTAGAAACGTTTATAGAAAAAATAAAAGAGAGGAAAATAATTTGAGTTGAACATAATACAATTAAATGTAGAGATTCTACATCAGCAATTATTATATATATATATATATATATATATATATATATATATATATACATTTTGATCAATTGAACTATATGAACACGTGGAAAAAAAGAAAATCACGCGCAGACTCATCGTAAGACAGGTATATCAGGTTGAGCACCACTTCTTTATTCTACGGTTCTTCTTATCCATTCGCAAATAAAAGTAAAAGAGTGAGACTGAAAGCTTCTGTATGCATATATGTATGTATGTAAGTACACATGTGTGTTTGTTTGTTTGTATGTCTGTGTATGTACATGCTAAGGAAAGAGAAGAGACTCACAAAACAAGAAAAAGCAAACGTACACCACAATAATAAAAAGCACAGAGACTCCCCTACTACATACACATGTACACACACAGACCCAAGTACACACATAGGCACTAACTCGCATACAGAACTTTAATTTCCTTCCCGTTTTTTTTTTTTGTATTTAATACTCTTGAATAATAATGCTTTTGTCTCTGTCCTCTTTTCTTATTTATATTTCTTTTGCTGTTAAGCTCTCCCTCCAATCATCTCTTTTCTACCCCACCCCACAGATATATATATATATATATATATATATATTCTGCCTCTCGATTAACTGTACGAATAGTTATTTTTTCTTTTCTTTTCCCGTCACCATTTATTTGATTTTCAGGTGCTTGTCTCTTTTTTTTTTGTTGTTGTTATTGTTTAATTTCTATTTCTCCCCTTCCCTTTCTTTTCACGGATTCACCCTACTTCACCCACTCACATGAATACATGTGAATAATAATAATAATAATAATAATAATAATAATAATAATAATAATAAAACACCACTGAGATGCGAGTCGCTATGCAAGCTTATAATCGTACACGCAGCCATCACGGTGTACTCTATAGAAAGAAAGAGATCACGGTTTTTATGGGAGAAGTTAGAGGTGACATTCAATACAGGGAAAAGAAGGGAGAAAGATGTAAAGCGACACGGCCTAAATAAAATTTTTTTTTTCGTTTTTTTTTTTTTTTTT